GGGGAGAGGAGGGGGGGGGGGGGGGGGGGGGGTTTAACCCCTGAAATGTGTTAGCTATTGTCCACCATCACAGGCTGAAGGGTCTCATTGTCTTCTTTGTTCTGTACTTGGGTTATTGATCACAGAACAGTTTGCTGATGTTATTTATGTTATTATTTCAATAAATGGTATCACACAAGGAGAAGGCACGGTTTCCTTATCTCTTCATGTACTGGATGATTTTCCTATCCGTGTCTACACAGCTGCCTTTCTTGGTGTAAATGGATGCTAATGAAGAGGTTTGTCAGGATTTGTAGAAGCCCTCATCAGCGCTAAGGTTGCGGTTTGAGGCTACATGCAGTTCCCATATTAATTTCAAATCTTTAGCGGTTAGCCTGGAGTTCAGCTTTTAAAACAAATACAAACTCAGAAGGCTGGCAGTGCCACGAACAATGCCCGATTTATCAAACCATGCAAAGGTTACCAAACAATAAAACCCAGTTTTTATCATTCAACCAATATACAAAAAGTCACAACATTTACCAATGTCACTAAAGCTGGCCATACACCTGTAGGTTATCTGCAGATTTTCTATGGTCAGATGGAAAAAGTGCAACAGATTCCTCCATCTACGCTAAACTGTGTGGATGATGGAATCTCATGCTGGGCCAAGCTTCAGTATCTTATACCTGAACCTGTTGGAAAATTTCCCATCTGACCATAGAAAATCTATAGATGTATGGCCAGCTTTATACTTAATATCAACCTAAATGACCTGCTCATAATAGAAAATCCAGCCAACAAGTTTAGTCAGAAAATGAACTTCGAATTCTGTTAAAAAACACACAGCATTTCTGCTAAAGTAAGAGAAGCGCTCCGTCTCCAACCCCTCCTAGATTTAGGTGGTCCCCCCCTTGCCAGTACCTTCAGTTGTGTTGGATGCAGACATTTTAGTGCCAATTTACTGGTTATATTGTGGGTTAGCACTACCTTTTTGGAAGACATTTTTTTAACAATGAACTGCTTTGATTTAAAGGCAATAGGTGTTATAATTCCCAATACAGTATAGGGCAGGGTTAGGAAAATTCCAGCCTTCCAGCTATGGTGCAAATACAAATCCCACTGGGCATTGCAAGACCGACAGCCAAAAGGCAGGACTCCCAGAGCCAGCTTCATGATGGGATTTGAAGTTCCACCGCAGCTGGAGGGCCAGGGTTTGACTACCCCTGGTATAGGGGAGAACTTATTTTCATTTTGCACATATTGTGATTTCAATATATAGATTAAAGTAATTTGAATTTCAAACGTTTAAATGCTTCCTGATCCATATTTTGCTGCGGTATTAGAGATTTGTATTCTACGGTGGTCAGGAAGCCGTTTTGCTGAAGTATATGTTTAATAGCCAATATAGCCTAGTATATTTCAGTATAAACCTGAATAGAAACAGAAGTACTGGTAGGATGTCCTGTATCCCATTTGTATGGAAACTATACGGTTACTGAGTGGAGTGGCTGTATTCCGGAAAACCAGTATATAAAATGAATCTATGCCACAGCAACAGGATTTCCATTCATTCGTAAAGCCAGAGCATTTGACTGCAATAGTAAAATGTCAGAAAGAATAATGTCAAACCATCTGAAGCGGTTAATATATTGTGCACAATATGAACTGATCACATTAATAAAAAGACTGCACAAGCAGAGTTTACCTTCACACGCCAAATGACTAGCAGATCTAGAGATTTTAGGAGATGGCTGCAATTATATGCAATTTTGACTTTTTAATAAAGTAGGGCACTTGGCCCAGTCCCCTCCAACCTCCTGAGTTTCCCAATTGGGCAAATGGGTCACCCTTCATATTTAGAGTGACAAAGGATAATTCCCCCCCCCCCCATGTTAGTGTAAGGACTTACTTTAAATGATGCCTGTTGATCCGATCATCATCTTTACTGTAGTTCTCAGCTGTCACTCCAGTGCGGGTGCCGATCTCCGATCCAGCGCCGACTCCTCTGTGCTAGCTGGCAGAGTCCAGTGGCGGCGTGCTTTACACCACTGCATCCGACGCTTTGCATTGCACTTGGTGATGTAAGGCTTGGATGCAGCTGCTCGGCCATGGAAACAAATTCCATGAAGCTCTCTACGCACTGTTGTTGTGCCAATCTGAAGACCACACGAAGTTTGGAGGTCTGTAGCTATCGACTCTGCAGACAGTTGGCGACTTCTGCGCACTTCAGCATGTGCTGACCCCGCTCTGTCATTTTACGTGGCCTGCCACTTCATGGCTGAGTTGCTGTTGTTCCCAGCTGCTTCCACTTTGTTATAATACCACGAACAGTTGAGCGTGGAATATTTAGTACCCAGGGAATTTCATGGAACACATGAATCCAATGATATGGGGGGGTGTTCCAAAATCTTTTGGCAATATAGTGAATGAAAGTGGGCAAAAAAAACATTTCAGTATGTTTTTTTATTATTTTGTATCAGAATGAGATCATCAAGGATCAGAGGCACAAACTTTTGGAAGATTACAAGACAGTTGTAAGAAGTGGCCTTATGTTACATATATGTATTCTGAGTTTCAGTTTAAGCGGTTATTGATGCCACATTGAGATGGAACAGGTGCAGCCCAGACATAAGTAGCAGCCAAATTAAGATGTAGGAGCTATTTTGGCTTTGTAAGAGTACCAGCTGTATATGTCAACTATTCTCAACAATCTGATGCAAAACTCTTTACAGCATTCCATTTCAGGGCCCTGAAGTCATCTGAAGTGTCTACAAGTGTAGAGAAATCCTTGGAGACAAATAAAATACTGGGGAACTGCACAATATGGTCCTGAAAGTGACTTGTACAGAGATTTTCTTTTAAGCAACACTAATATATTTTGGTAAACCTGCGGCTCTCTGAGTCTTGCAATGTCTTACGGGATTTGTAGTTGCACCAAAACTGTAGGACCTGAATTTGGCAAGCCCTGGAGTAGAAGATAACTTATAACCGTTTCCCCTTCTTTCTATATAATAAAGGACTAAGGTCTACAAGTCTATGAAACGGCCACTTTGAACCAAAAGATAAAAAAAAAAGTTCATGTAAACTCGACGGGTTGTCAGCTACTTGGAAGGAAGCCCAACCACTTGCCATAATGACCTTTCCGTCTGTTATTCAAAACTGAGCAAAGGTCAGATATAATATTTCAGTGTTAGTCCACATGCTCCATGGCAAAATGCAAACACTCAGGAAAGAAGCTAGGAAGGATCACAAGTGACATTATTACACAAATAACAGATAAGTACATGAGGGAAGATGTGAGCTGGCGATGGGATAGGGGCTGCATAACATTTGTATTATCCTGGTGTCTGACGCGGCTCTATTGTGAATACAGATACAATACTGACTACCTCTAAAGATAGAAAACTAAAAACACAAGATTTTCTGGTATGGAATATACCCCCCTCACCTCCTAAGGTCTCCGGAGAAAGTCCATTATTTGGGCACTTCCCATTTATAAAATTACATATGAGCAAAGAAAAATCTCAATTGTTAGATGGCATCTGGGGCCCATGGCTCAATACTGCGCAAGCCCTATGCAGACTTAAGAGAACTATGGGGTAAGTGTTTTTCCCCATAGTTCTTAAGAGAAGAGACATACTAGCGTCCTCTCGTGACCCAAAGCTCAGTATACCGAGAGTTACAGATCGCGGTATACCGAGACCGCCGCAGCCGGGACGGATCCCGACAATACTGCCTGGGTCCACCCAGCTGCGTGAGTGACAGCGGGCTTTGCCTATCTAGAGGCAGAGCCAGCTGTGCCCGCCCCCTCCCCTGTCCGTTCCGCCACTCAGCGCTGAGTGGAGGAACGGACATGGGGGGGGGGGAATCCCTGCAGGGAGGCGGGACTGACAGTCACGGCTCTCTGCAGGGAGATGATCGAGAAGTGAGCGAGCGACGGTATGTGTTCGCTCACTTCCCGATCTATTGAGACGACGTGTGACAGTTTCATTGTCACACGGCGGCCTGAACTGAGGAGTGATTTTCACTCACCTAATAGTTCTTTAATTGATACATGTTTATGGGTTTAGTGCACACATTTATGTATTTTATTATTTCTGTGGAATCTGCTACTATGGAGGCAACAACTGTCTGGTTGGTTTGTAATCACAATGGTTTATTGTTTGAAGTTTATGATGTGTTAATATACAAGACTCAATAAACATGCTCTTGGGGGAAAAAAAATCCAAGATTTGTCTCTTAATACAAGTCAAATGTTTCTGCAAACCTTAATAAAATTCTCTTATTTGCTCCCTTTTGGTCTTTTAATTATGCCATTGAAAGTGTTTTGTTATATCTGTTTGACAAGTGCAAAACATACCTGCTGAAATGTAGCAATCTCAAGTTCCTGTGAACTCTGCCTTAGCCGTGATCAGGCTGCATTGTTCCCAATTCTCTTTGAACTACAGAACACCTCCCTCCTTTGTTATGGAGAGGTGTTCTTTAGTCCCAACACTTCCTGCCTTAAGCCGGCCATACTCCTATAGATTATCTGCAGACTTTCTATGGTCAGATGGAAAAAGTGCAACTGATTCCTCCAACTACACTAAACTGAGGATTGAGGAATCTCCAACTGGGTCAAGCTTCAGTAGCTTGATAGTCGGCTCCGCTGGCTGTCAAAATACCTGAACAATCTGATTGGATGCAGGCATTGTTCAGGTGTATGGTCAGCTTAAGGATGACAAAGTAGCTATTTCATAGATACAGTACAGTGAGTAAATGTGCTCATCCTAGAACATGAAGTGCTTTGCTGGCAGGATGACCAGTGAAATAAACACTAGAGAAAAGAAAAGGAATGCAGCCACCACATCTAAGGACTGGCAAGATGTAATAGTTCAAATGTTTGTTGTTGGGTTTACACCTTAAACACAACAGTGTTACAAGAATGTACATGGAAGGCACTAACTGGAAATATGGCCCAGCACAATGCAAACACTGCCCAGTGATCACATAGCCTTGGACTACACCATGGCTAACATGTCATGCTGATATAGCAGATAAGTCACCAGTCGCCCATTCTCGCCATGACCAAGCAATTTGTTCTATATCACTCTACTATACAAATGTGACCAGGAAACGCAAGCAGTAACACACAAGAAAGCTGGGCTGTCGTCAACTTACTTCTGGAAATGGTGAGCATAGAGATGTGTAGGAATACTAAGCAGGCGACTGTAAATGGAGGTGACACCACTTAGATTTCCCTGCTCAGTCTCATAGGTGATGTACATCTCCCACAGCTTGTCTGATCGAAAATCTAAGCCTGCAGACATGATTGCATGCTCAAATGTCCTGAAAGGGAAACATTAATACATCTGGTGAGATTTTTTTTTTTTTTTAAAAAGCATGTAGGAAATATTTACAAAAAATATGTATTATCTTGTCAATCCTAAACTCCTCCAATCATAAAAGAGGAAAGTGAACCTGATCTTTAAAAACAACAAAGACACCTTTAGAAATGTCCAGTAATGACAATCTACAAATACTTGGAATACATCACTAATGCCTAAGGAGGACCAGGAAGAGGAAAAACAGGAATTGTAAGTAAAATGTTTAGGTAATGAATGTAATGATGATTTAATATCAGAAAGCAAAGCCGCATGCTAATGCAATTTTTACTGAAGGGGGGTAAAGGTCCACTTTAATGAAGAACTCCAGGATTCCTAAACATTAACCCTTGCAGTGGGGGGAGGCTCCCCCCACTGCAAGGGTTAAGTGTTAATTTTGTCTAGGAGGTGAAAATAAAGATATCACCTAATCGTTGATCATGCCTGACTGCTAGACCAGTACCAGCAGTCTGCTCTCCCCCGGGCTCTGGTGTGCCACAGACCATGATGTCATCAGATCCAACGGAGGTACCTTAGACATGAGGTCGCCGAGGTATGTGCCACAGCCAGACAGGAGGAGAGAAGCCGTCACTGCCGCAGGACCGAGGATTGGGTGAGTATTTCTTCTTTGTCTTCTCCCTTAGACCAAAAGGGGCAATGCAAGGGTAGCCCCCACTGCAAGGGTTAATTTTTGAAAATCCTGGAGTTCTTCTTTAGGCCAGATTCACATAATTTTGCGGACCAGATCTGGAACGCGCTGCATTGCGCTTTGACCACAATTTTGCCGCAATCCGAAGCAGTTTCTTTTAAAGCTTAAAATAGACTTTCAGGTGTGGTCCAATGCGTTTGCATACATTTGCATGCGTTCCAGTGCATTCCAGACCAGACAAAATGAGACAAGCAGTATTTTTTTTTCTGGTCTGGAACGGACTACGCTGGTGAGAACAGAGGCCAGAGATAGCATAGGGATACATTAGGATGCATTTCGGGTCCAGAAACAATCTGGTCTGGAGATGATCTGGATGTGGTCTGAATGGGCCCTTAAGGTGAAGTTGAAAAGCCAATGCATTTCAGGGGCTCCGACATTCCCCCTTCATTAAGAGAAAAAAAAAGCAAAAAAACTCTGCAGGGTTTTCTGGCCGTGATAAAAAATCCCCCTCTTAATGTATTACATGTCTCGGGATCCACAGGATCTAACGTTTCTTTTAAGAACTGTAGATAATGTATCCAAAGATCAACACTTAATGTGATGGCCTGAATTCCTCTCCGGTAGACCTACAGAGCGAAACAAAAAAAAAAAAAAAAACACACCAAACAGAATGATACATATCATCTGACACAGGAAACACGCGTATTCGGTCAGCCTTACAAAATGCTAAATATTTGGAATTTCATTGAAAATCTGCCATTACCATTGAAGTGGAGGTTGGATAGAACATGGCTCATGTTCTGAGCTCCACTTGCAGGGTTCTTGGTCTTCAATGCGCGGCTGTATTCTTAGCAGGAGCTGAGGGCTGGCTTTGGGGGTACAGACCATAAGGCACAGACCCATTAGAATCTCAATCACAGCGTCTGAGCACATATTCAGTTACATGTATCAAAAAGTATAACTGCATGGTCTAATCTACGCCACCACACAACGACTGGCAGAAAAGCCCTGCCCTACGTGTTAAGCTGCAGTGTAATAGAGGCTTGCACTGCACAGCTTGACAAAACTGTAGAGATTTAATGCACCTGTCAACAAAGAAAGGAGATATTAGCACAAATGTCACGCTGAGTGACAAATGTTGCAGTAATAATCCTGCTATGACCTTATGTAGGGCCTGAAGCAGTCTCCAACATGACTAAAGTCCAGTCTTTACCGTCTAATGTCTACTCAGCATCAAATTACCTCATCGGCTTCCAATATGTTGTTATTGCGTCTCTCCAGATCGGCATACTTTTTCCAGTAACCGTAACAGTATGGATAATGAGCAAGAAACATGTCAAACACTCTTCGGGCAGCATAGATGTGATTCTAGGAAATAAAAAGATACATATTACACCGGCAGGAGAGAGGAGATAAAGCTTTACATAATGCCCAAGATTCCTTATGAGGCCTTCAAAATGGACACTTACATGGAACAGTGATGCAACCTTAAGGGCTTGTTCACACCAATTGTGGTGCGTTACAGAGTGGTAGCTGCTGGAACGCACAGTAAATCACACAGGGAGGTGCCATGGTGGTGCACTGAAGAAAATGGCACTGAAGTAAATGGCACCGCAGCCACACACCCCTCCACCCACAGTGAGATCAGACACGTGGCAAAACATTGCCTGCGTTCCAGTCCAGTGGGAATGCACAAAGATGCTTCATGCTCTATTTTTTGCATTCGCAGTGGAACGGAATGCAGGCAATGTTTTACCATGCGTCCAATCGCACTGTGGGTCTGGGGTCTTGTTCACACTAAATCCAGACCAGATCTGCATGAGTTTCTGCATATGCAGTGCGTTTTGCCATTTAACACGTTTCAGTCTTTTTTCTTAAGCTTAAAATGGGCTTTCAGTGCGTTTGCATGCGTTTTGGTGCGTTCCAGAGCAGGGGAAAAAAAAACATGGCATGCTGCAGTTTTTCCACATGTTCTGGAACTGAACGCTGCGGTGTGAACTAGAGCCCAAAATACCATTGGAATACATTAAAAGGGGTTCTGTAACTGCTCTGCACCTGCTCCGCACTTGGTGTGAACAAGCCCTTAAAACGAGGACCCCAGTGCTGCAAGGTAGACGTGCTAACCACTAATCCACTGTACTGAGCACGTGCGCACACACACACACACACACACACACACACACACACCAGCTGTTCTCTCCCTCCCATCTAAAGTTTCATAGTACCCCAACACAAGAGGAGGGAGAGGGAGGGGCACATGGATCAGATTTATTTATACCTTCTTATATTTTAAAGAAGCATTCTTCATTTTTTTTTTTTAAAAGCGCTTTCAGCAGTCAAGGTACTGCACAATTTGAAACTCAACCCAACAGTGTTCCTTCTTACATGGTTTGATATGTGCTGTGCAGTGTTTATATCAGGGGTAGGCGAACTCTGGCCCTCCTGCTTAAGTGACGCTGCAAAGCTCATCACCCATCTGCCTCTGGGAGTCATGCCTGTGACTGTCAGCCTTTCAATTACCCAGGGGCGTCCCGAGGCCGGGTGTCACCCGGAGCAAAGACCAAGTGACACCTCGTCGTGGCATCACCACGGCCGGGTGTCACCCGGAGCGAAGACCGAGTGACACCCCGCCGTGGCATCACCACTGCCGGGTGTCACCCGGAGCGAAGCCCGGGTGACACCCCGCCGTGGCGTCACCACGCGCATGAGTGATGACGTAATTGCGCATGTGCGGCTGTCTGAGGCCCGCCGGCAGCCATCTTGGTGGTGGATGCCAGCAGAGAGGAGGGGATGTTCACCCGGCGGGATTAGGTATGCCGCCAGGCCCACTCCTCTCATCTGACACTGTCAGGCTCTGGGTACATGACCGACTGCCCGACTTTTTAGAGGGGGTGACACCAAAATGACTGACAGTCATTTTGATGTCACCCGGGTACGGGCCGCATCCCCCTTGTGACACCACTGCAATCGCCTAATGGAATTTGTAGTCGCACGGCAACTGAAGGGCCAAAGTTAAACTACCCTTGGTCCATATGTTGTCACTAGGAACTGGCACATACTCCCTGAACAAGAGAGGAGAGCTTCACGTCGGGCAGGCCACACCCGGCCCTTATCGTGTACCAGGTGCCCACCCGCAATGAAAGTACACAGCGTCAGAGGACTGTACAGCGTGACAAAACGCCCTCCTATTTCTGCTCTGAGCAATGCAAACTCTCCCTGATGTTTCCAATGAACAGGAATGTGAATGGGAGTGGGGGAGATGCATCACCATTTGAGTTATCAGCCTGTCTATTTTCTATTACCAAAAGCTGCACACAAACAGGATCATGTCATGACACGCCCTAACACAAGTCTAACCCTGCAGCGACAGAGCAGAGGCAGCTATAATAAATATTACGCCAGTCATGTGGGAAATTCAGACATTCGGATTACAGGAATCGCTCTGGATAAGGTTTAGTACACACAAAAAAAAAATGCCACACACACAACAGGTTGACCTTTCCAAACAGCAAAATTTCCGACAAACCTCTTGTTCAATATAATGCAGCAGATAAGTCCAAGTTGTGAACTCCTCAGGGTTGGCCTCCACGGCCTTCCAGTACTTGTCAAACTCTGGGGGCAGCGGCGGCTCTGGCTCTGTTTTTGGAGGGGGTTCAGCTGCCTCCTCCACGCCGGGTACAGAATCCTGTTCCGGAGACTGCTCCATTGCCGTCACCTCTAGAATATCTTTATTTTCCTTAGTGGCCTGGGAGGCCTCCGCTGAGGCTGCTGCATTGTCTCCTGAGCTCCCCATCGCAGGATTGTGATCGGGCTTTGAATCCTGCATCTTGTCAGTGTTATGCTGCAGATTTAAATAAAAAGACTAAATTAAGAGCAGTTTAAATGTCGTACGGAATCCATAACCTTATTAAAATCAGTCTGGGAAGTTTCAGAAAGTTCTGATGTTCGGGGAATGTTGATGTACCCCGAGTGCCCATTCCACAGATGCAGAAAGGTTTTCAAGCTATTTTAAATGTGGATTGAATCACTTAGGCTTCATTCACACGAGAAAAGGCCGGCACGTACAGCCCCATGCAGGGTGCGCAACCGTATCGGGCAGCTCCCGGGAAGGACAGGTGCTGCGTGTGATTAGTATGCATCTCCTGTCCTTCTCAATGGGAGTACGCAGTCGTATGCCCCCCTACGCTCACCTCAAGTGCAGGTCCGTAGGGGTGCCCGGCTCGGACGCAGACAGGGTCCATCCCGTCAGCGTACGAGTACGCTCAGCCGCACCGACGTGCAGGTCGGGTGAGCGTACTCCCACAGAGAAGGACAGGGGCTGCGTACTAACCACACGCAGCACCTGTCCTTCCCGGGAGCTGCCCGATACGGCTGTGCACGCAGCACGGGGCTGTACGTGCCAGCCGTTTCTCGTGTGAATGAGGCCTAAGAATGAATGCTGCCCCTTCATGTCTAAAAGTTTTAGCTTCCAGCAGAATCAGCTGGTCCCCTGAGCACTGACTTCCTGTTTTAGGAGGTGGCTCCTTTCCCTTGCAGGGTCCCTTATGTGCTGATAAACTGTGTACGCCTCCACAATCACACAGTAAGGCAAGTCACTCCACGCCACAAGATGAACAGCTACTGGAGACTGGGCTGTGTCCCTTGTGATCTTGTACTGGACAGAAAGTTCAGGGAAGTTGAGCTAAGAGAGTTGGAGCTGTTTGGAAACCCGATAATTAAGTGCTTGGGCAAAAATGCAATAATATAATTTTTCACACGCAATTACAACCGTGCTTTTAAAATTTGTGCAGAAACCGCACTAATCCGTAACCGGCCTGGTGTGAATGGGGCCCAAAATGGGCAAGCAGGGAGATGCCTCTACAGCACCATAAAGGGGGTGGGCAGGCAGGTGTGGAAGCAGTGGTCTCTCTGCAGAGGTCTATGCCCACTGCTAAGTCAGAGCAAGAGCTCTTCTGTCAGTAAATCTCATGCGCCCTACAGATCAGCTTCTCTGAACTACAGAAAGCCCCCTCCCCCATGTATTATGCAGGGTTGTGTCAGATATCTGCAGAGAGACTGCTGATTCTGCATATAGAGCTTTGCACCATGCTGGCAGGGGATGGGCTTTTCTGCTCAGGATGTGTGCTTTCTAATGAAAATGAACTGCAAGACTGTTCACTTCACGAGTTAGAGCTTTTCCCCATAGTTCTCCTTAGGGTAACAGGAGGACACAAACTAGCGTCCTCCCGTCACCCTAGGCTCAGTATACCGCGAGCTACTGCTTGCGGTATACTGAGACGCCGCAGCTGAAGTGGATCCCGACAATTATGCCTGTATCCGCCAAGCTGCATGAGTGACAGCTGGCTCTGCCTATCTAGAGGCAGAGCCAGCTGAACCCGCCCCCTCCCCGTCCGATCCACCAGCGCTGGCTGATCGGAGCGAGGAAACCAGCCCCTCCCCTCTCATGACAGAGAGCCGTGACAGGATCGAGAAGTGAGCGAACGCCGGTATGTGTTCGCTCACCTCCCGATCTACTGAGCCGACCTGTGACAGTCTCATTGTCACAGGTCGGCTAGAACTATGAGGTGAGTGAAAAGCACTCACCTCATAGTTCTCCTTTAAGCCCTATGTTCACATACGTGCAGGGGCCCTAGCACATCTGCGTGTTTTTGTGCATTGTATATAGGGCAGCCCCTTCATTTCAAAAGCAGGACAATCACACCATGAACATTTGTTACCCAAAACGGTCAGCACCAAAACACATGGAGGAGGATCTACTAGGCCAGATGGAATCCGGAGCAGACTCCCATGGCAACCAATCAGCTTCCAATGTCAAGTTTAACTGCGCAAACTGAAGATAGAAGCTGATTGGTTACCATCAGTAGCTATTCTAGTTTTGATCAATACCCCCCAATGAATCTGCAGCAGATGTGCATGGCAACCAATCAGCTTCAAGCTTACTTGTACAAGTTGAAGCTAGACGCTGATTGGTTCTACAGGTTTATACAAAACTGTAATACGGGAGCATTCCTATGCAAATCATCCGCATTGTACAAAATCAGACAGACCCTTGCTCTACATAGCCAATAGTAGACCTAAATCAGATTGTATAGTGTGTATGGCCAGCCCCCTCCGCCGGGCCCTCGTGTGGGCCCCTGCGGCGTTATATAATTAGCTCACGGGCAGCGGCCCAGGGCAATTACGTACCGGCAACGGAGCTCTCCTCACTGCCGCTGCACTCGTCTCCTCTCCGTCTGTTCCCTCGCGGCCCGGGACTCCTTCGCGGCAAACGTTCGCCCAACACGCGCCAGCACCACAGAAACCACTCCGCCCAGCGTGCCCGCACACGTTACGTCTGACGTCGTCGCCAAGGGAGCGCGCCCGTGGAAAGCACGCACTGAGCGTGCTGTCGTCACGCTTGTTTATGCACGGTGGGCGGCGGACGTGGACGAAGTGGGGTTCATGTCGGTGCTTGCCGGAGACGCCCCTCGGGGCCCTGCGGGTGTTCTTCTGGGCTGAACGCGCTCCTATGCAGCGGGTGAGATGCTCGGGTCAGCCTGTGTGCAGGAGGCAGTGTTGTTGTTCACCTTAGAGCTCATCACCCCTCTACAATCTACATGACCCCTGCTCTGGATGTTATATTTAACAGACCAAAAGGGAGAAAATAAAAGAAGCACATTGTAGGGGGTTTGCATCCTCTTTAAGACCCCAGTTGCAGTATACCAAGTAGCTATGATATGGTATTGTACCTGTTACTACACAATTATTTTTGTGGCCAGATACTGCTGTTTTTTTGCGTGTTCATTTCATGGCAGCCTAGGAGTGGCAGGAAACTGAACCCACAGCTTTAAGCAGCTTAAAGGAAAAATATTCCTCATCTATCCATAAGCTTTGTTTCTATACAAATGAGAACTGGTTGTGATCCGAATGACTGGCAGCAGTGAACTGGTTTTCTGCATTCTTGCTAGTAGTTGTACATTAGTTTATCTGAAACCAGTCACAACTAACATAGTATGTTTTCTAGGTCCCCTTATGGGGAGTCCTCAAAGGGGTTAATGCAACAAGTCATGAAGTTCACACTCGTTTCAGACTAATCATTCGAAATCCCAATTTAAATCACTTTCACTGGATCTCATTCAAATTAAATTGAAATTTGTCCATAAGAATTGATGAGTCTGAAGTGTGTAATATCATCCAATGATGTGGATTTTTTTTTATTCCATTTTTTGTAACTTTGGATTTTAAAAAAAATGTAAAATTGTTAGAAACGTTATTGAAAAAGAAATGATGGCCCATGCAGGGCAAAGCGACAGGTTCTCTTTAATTCGCCTCCTCCGCAACAGCACATACTCACCTATTTTTCACTCCTCCAGTTGAGCTGCTGGGAGCAGGAGAATCTGTCCTGTGTGAGCTCAAGTCTTAAAGGAAAATTATGGGGAGGGTACAATGCGCTCACCCCAAATCTTAGAGCCAGCATGGGACACTGCAGCTGTTATACATCGTCTCTATAGATCAAGAACTGAGAAATCACATACCACCAATCACTCAGATCTTCTCTCTGCAGAGAGTGGTGACCGTCAGTCAGGAGGGAGTGGGCACAGCTGGCTTTACATAGGCAGAGACAGCTGTCAATCAGGAAGCAGAGTGGATCCCGACCATATTATCAAGATCCTTCCCGGCTGCAAAGCGGCTCTGCGCTGTCAGCACACAGCCGGCAATATCCTGCTATATGCTGGACATTATTAAATGTCCTCCCCTGACCCAAAAGAGAACTACGGCCAAAAAAGGTTTGGCCGTAGTTCTCTTTTAAAGCTGGACTCCGGGATAAGCAAATGAAGTCTAAATACAAGAGCCATGTGTATTCTTACTTCAATCTTGGCGTGAGTCCAGTATGTAACTTTGCCTCTGTGCAGGAGCTTCCTGTAATATAGACCGGTCACTGCTGCACTATCTCCTTGTGCAGGGTGACTGATCTTGTCTTGGGTTTCTGTATCAAAACAGAGATCTACCCCGTTGTTGTCTTCAGGGCTTACAATTAAAAATTAGTGTTGCAGGTCAGCTATTAACCAAATGGTGCTCCTCAAGTGTCCTCGTTAACAGAATGCTGGGAGTTCCAGGGATCACACAACTCAGTAAAGGTGCCCATACACTGCACGATTATCGTACGATAATCGTATGCGATCGGTTTTTCGTACGATAATCGAGCAGTGTGAACGGAGACGTGCGACCGTTTCTACTGTACGGTCGCACGTCTTCTGTCGAACCAGCATGTTCGAAAACCAGCCGGGAATCGTACGATTCTCGGCTGGTTAGAACGGTGCTCGGTAGACAAATGCCGAACGGGCCTGTGTGCGCACGCGCACACTGCCCGTTCAGCATTGAGGTCATCGGAAGCCCGCCCCTCAGGGGGGCGGGCTTGCGATGATCGAGAGTGCGATCTGCCTGTCCAAGATAGGCAGATCGTACGTTTTTTTAATCCCTGTACAACCATCGCATTGCGATGGTTGTAGAGTGTATGGCTACCTTAATACGGTTTTTCGAGTACCTATAATTTTTTATCGGTACTTGCTGATACCGTATATTGATACCGGAAGTCCCATTAGGAAGCCAGGTGGCGTGTAATGACTCGCCACCTGGCTTCCTAATTAGCCAGGAAGCGGTCTCCATGCTCCCTCGTCACCTGGTGATGAGAAAGCATGGAGCCAGCTTTCTGGCCAATCAGGAAGCCAGGCACAGTGTAATAAAGCATTGCCCGGCTTCCTGATTGGTCGAGAAGCTGGTCAATCAGGAAGCTGGGCAACCAGGTGATGAGGGAACATGAAGCCGGCTTTCTGGCCAATCAGAAAGCCAGGGGACATGTAATATACATGCAGCCCAGTTTCCTGATTGGCCGGGAAGCCGGCTCCATGCTCCCTCATTACAGGTGACGAGGGAGCATGCAGCCGACTTCCTGGCCAATCAGGAAGCCGGGCAGCATGTATAGACTCGCTTGGAAGCCCAAGTATTGGGCTAGTCATCGGAGCATTTGGGTAAGTACGAGTACTCGCCTAAATACTCGGCACCAATAGTAGTATTGGTATCGGTGCACCCCTAATGAGAAGGTATATTTGGAGTATTAGTGGATGCACTTGTGAAAGGGATTTGTTGTTAACTTTAGGATTCTCTCGTCAATGGTCTAGGCCAACTGACTGTATTCCACAATATGCTTCATTCCATCAACAGTCTCTTCCTGCATTCATACTGAAAACCTGTATTCACCCAGAAGGAACTGGTAGCAGAGGGGGCCGATGTATTTTAAACTGGAGACACTTGTAAGCAGTGCCCAGACCACCGAGGTTAGAGCCTCAGGGCTCTTCATAACCACTAAAGGAAAGTGAAAATAACGTAACTGCCATTGCTGATCATGTGAAAATGCTAGTTCTTTGCTGGCTTCAATACTATTTGAGTAAATTACATTGAAATATTGGTTTCTGATCAGTGACTCAGACAGTTCAAAAGCCATTGGATTAGCAAGACAGCAAGAGGAGTGAGCAATAGCAACCTCCATACGTCCTCTATGCAGGCCTGGTGTGGGTAAATCCCGCAATGGAACGGCAAAGATGAAAGGAGCCCAGAAACACTTTCATTGGGTTGTTAGTAGGGATGCACCGATACTAGTATCGGTGCTGATACCGAGTATTTAGGTGAGTACTCGTACTCGCCCAAATGCTCCGATACCTAGCACGAGTACTTCCTGTATCAGGAAGCCGGGCAGCGCATCATTACACGCTGCCCGGTTTCCTGATTGGCCAGGAAACGGCTCCATGCTCTCTCGTCACTTGTGATGAGAGAGCATGGAGCCGACTTCCCGGCCAATCAGGAAGCCGGGTAGCGTGCAATGACGCGCTGCCCGGCTTCCCGATTGGTCAGGAAGCTAGCAAATCCGGAAGCCGGGCGCCGTGTAATGACGCAGCGCCCGGCATTCTGATTGGCCGGAATCCGGCGTCATGCTCCATCGTCATCTCATGAATCATATTATTAAGAAAGTGACCTTAAAGCATTAGTTTTTATTGCTTTAGAAAAAATTTGAAAAAGTATCGGTAATTGGTATCTGCGAGTACTTGATCAAAAGCATCGGTACTCGTACTCAGTCTTAAAAAAGTGGTATCGGTGCCTCCCTAGTTGTTAGATAAATGTGCTTTCTCTGTTCAGGATGAAGACATTGTTTCAGGAAATCAAAGCTTCTATCAAAAACAACATTGAGCACGATCGCTCATTCTGGAGGCCAGTGCTTCCTTGGGGAGGCGTATTCACCATAAAAGCTGGCCGTAAAGCCATCTCGTGCATGCCCCTGTATGTGGAGATCACACTGAAGAACACCTGCACTATCGATGGCTTTTTGATGCTTCTTTATGTTATCCTGCGTGAAAATAACACTTTCCCCCGTGAGCTGTCCCAGTACCTGGGCAGAGAGTTTGTCGATTGTTTCCTCCATCTAATGGACACCTGCAGCTTCACCTCCGTCAAGCTGCTGTGGATATGGGACAAGATGGAGAAGAGGCAGTACAAGTCCGGAGTACATAAAGCATGTCTGGAGATTGACTTGTTTGGGAATGAACATGAAAATTTCACCAGAAACCTGGAGCGCTTGATGGCCACAATTCAGGAGAGTTACTGCTCTAGCCCGCAGTGCCCCATCCGTGTGCAGGAGAGTCACATGCAGACTATTCTAATCAAGTAAGTAAAGAAATCCCTATAAGGGTGGACACATGAATGTAGATTTGGGGAGTAACACAACTTATGAGACAGCCAATGAATAGTTTTTCACCTTACATATGTGTTCTTGGATTTTGTTTTTTAACCACTCGACCTACAGCCGTCAGATCACTTGTATGGTGCCAAACATCTTGCGGGGCCCCCCTCCGCTGCCAGTTATCCCAGGCTCCGATGTCCCCCGTGCAGGCCCGGGAGCGGCACAGCAGCTGTTTACACTCAAAACGGAGAAGAGATTAGCATTCTCCCACTTGCTGATCTATCCTCCAATGCTTGAAGGTGGAAGTGATGTATATTACATCACTTCCGCCTTCAGCTGTCATTTCTCTGGCTGCTATAGCCAGAGAGGAAGCAGATCTCTGCTTCATCAGCTTCTTTGGGGGTCCCTAGGTGACATTAGGGGTCTTGGAGATGTCTCCATAAAGATGACCTGTCGTATATTTGCTATCACATAGGGGGCTTCTTAGCCCCTATGTGATAGCAATAAAGTTAAGCTTACAAGAAAAATTCAAATCACATATATAAAAAAAAAGGAAAACCAGCAAAAAATGT